AAACTTTGGAGTTCCGTTTTTTTTGGTAATTTTAAAAAAAAAAAAAAAAAAAGGAATCATAACAGCAGACAATTTTCAGTTGTGGAGAAATGTAGGGAGAGCATGCAGTGAAAAATGTTTAAATCGAGGTAAATTGGAAATTCCAATCAAAAGCTTGCGATTCCTGAAGATTGGACGAACTGGAAATCTATAAACGTCAAGTGGACTGTCAATAACAGGCTGCTGGAAGCATGAAATCTTTGAAATTGTGAAACGTGTAATTGCGTAAAGATGTAAAGAGAGAGCTAACGTGTTTTATCGACGATCATGCCACGCTGTTGCTTTATTTCTTAGGCTGCTGAAACTTTTATTACAGAATTAGGCCACCTTGAAGCTTAATTAATTTTTTTTTAACGAAATATCAACAGAAAGAGAAGGTTAAGAAGATCTGTATTGATTTTAGAATGTTTTTAGAATCCATAGAGAAAGAAATGGAAAATTTAGAAAGCTATTGAAGAAATAAAGGACGTTACTGGATTCGATGTGCAATAAAGATAGATAGAAAGAAGCTGAAAACGATCCTAACGCAAAGAGAGATGTGAAACAAATAAGAAACAATATCTACACCGCAAACAATGAAGAAACATGAGAAAATCCATTTGTTCTAATTCTAACATAAAAATTTGAAAAATGTGTCACGAAATAAAGATATTAAATAGACAGCTGTATTAATGTCGGAGAGAAATAAATTAAATTTAACATTAATAAATTAACAGAAATTAATAGAAAATCACACGAATATCAGAGAGAAATAAATTGGAGGAAAGAGTAACAAAAAAGTTGAACGCGGAAGAAGGAGATGTAACAATGAAACTAAGGGAGACTAATCTAATTTAACCTCTTGCGCTGGAATTTTTTGTCCCAAAATTGCAATATTTTTTCACAGTTTTAAGTACATTTAAGTACAACCCAGGCAAAACAAATAATAAATTTGTTACTTCTCGATAATTTCTATCGAGTGATATCCCCCTGTTAATTTAATCTCTTGCGCTGGAATTTTTTGTCCCAAAATTGCAATATTTTCTCACAGTTTTAAGTACATTTAAGTACAACCCAGGCAAAACAAATAATAAATTTGTTACTTCTCGATAATTTCTATCCAGTGATATCCCCCTGTTAATTTAACCTCTTGCGTAGGAATTTTTTGTCCCAAAATTGCAATATTTCCTCAGTTTTCAGTATATTTAAGTATATTTATTATATAATACTAAAATATATATACTAAAAATAAATATTATATTCAAGTATATTTATTTATATAATACTAAAATATATATACTAAAAATAAATATTATATTCAAGTATATTTATTATAATTTTAATATATATTTATTATAACCCAGGCGAAACAAGTAATAAATTTATTACTTCTCAATAATTTCTATCCAGTGATGTCACACCGTGCGAGTTTCAAAAAGAAAGCGGCGATAATTATCGTATGCGGATTTTTTTTCTTTTTTTGGTCGCTCGTTATGGTCCGCAATCAGTCGCCAGCGCGAGTTGGTCGAACGTCGAAGAACAAAAAATGGCCACCAAACTAAAGAGCACGTATTAATAACTCGTCAACCGATTGAAAAATTAAGAGCAAAGCGAAAGATACGGATAATTGAAATAACATCAGGAAGAAACTCGACGAAATAAAAATATAAAACTGAATTGGTGGAGGAGGACGGTAGCAAATTTGGCACCAACCTTGAGGACTGTTCAGGTACAACTCGTGCTCGTAGTCCCTTCGGCAGATCGGTTGCCCCTGGCGGAGGAAATACTGGGCGCCAGGCGGCAATGGCTGGCCGCACATGCAACACGCGAAACACTCCACGTGAAACACCAAACCCGGCGCCCTTAGAACGAAATCCGAGCAGCTGATCTTCTCCATGCATCGCGCGCACTTCACGCCGAAGATCCGCTCGTAGTCCGTTCGACAGTAGAGCTTCAGCTCGCGGATAAAACAGGAATGTGTTAGGAGTGTGGCACACGCGGCACACGAAAGACACTCCTCGTGGTAGTTTCTTCCAGCCACCTGCATCACGTACTTGTCGACTATCGTGCGGCCGCAACCCGCGCAGATCGTCTCCAACAGTCCGGACTCTGTCTTCACCGAGACCGACGGCTCTGAAATCAGCGATCGTTGTTTTCCATCGTTCGATCAATTCCTTTGAATAAAGATTTTTACGGGCACGAACAGGTGAGTAGAAATTCTCACCATACTGAGTATTGTAACAACAAGTATCCTTCTTTTCATAGTATATCAATGTACGTATTCTCTGCCATTTTGGTATTTTGTAATTTCCCATAAATACATGAAAGTCAGTAGAATGATAGGTGCGTTCTACCGACAAATAATCAATGCTCGTATAGAATAAAGAACATAACTGTGACTATGGGACGATAAGACCCTATACAGAATTTTATATTAATTTACTTTTATAATTAATATAAAATTTAATTTAATATTTAATATTGGGAGAATTATTAAATTTGATAAAGTTTAATTAATAAAAAATATTTACTTTAATTTAAAAAAATATTTTGATTGTTAATTTATAATTATTTAGATTAAATTACCTTAGAGATAACAGCGTTATATTTTTTTATACATCATGTAGAAGAAAATGATTGCGACCTCGATGTTGAATTAAGATCAATTTTAAATGTAGAAGTTTAATAATTAAGTCTGAACGATTCGAACGATTTTTGAAAACATTTTTATCACAACTGGATTCACCACAGTCTTGAAGATTAAAGCTTTCTTTTCTATGTCACACAATTCTGTTTCTTTTTTTCCACCATTCTATTATGAACTTTAAATAATAGTATCAGACGACGAATTGTGAGGATTTTTTGAATATTCTTCGTTTACCTTTTGAAATGCAGCAAGTTTAAGGATTCGTTGTTAAAGAAGAGACTTCAATCTTCAAAATCATGGTGGATCTAGCGACAAAAGAAATTTTTTTTATATTTTCAGAAACGTTGGAATTTACTCTTCACTGTGATTTATTATATCATTCTATCAACTGTAGTTAAACTAACTAAATTTAACCATCATTTTAAATTGAATCTGTTCAGAATTATTTATCATTGGATTTAACATTTGAAACGTAGAAAATTGATCGTACTTATTTATTAACCCTCTGCCTATCATGCTAAAGAATCGAGTTTTGCCCATATGTTTCAGAGTTTACTTTATTTACTTATCAACGTGATATCGTATTTTTCTAGACCATTCTACTAGTTTTAACAAATCATTCACCTAGATAAACTATGAACTTCTATCGAAATATGAAAACCATTCGATCATAAATCTTTTTCGTCGTAACTGAATACAATTCCAACTAATAAACGAATAATTCTAATTAATAAAACGGAAAGAAAATTTTAGTTCTTTCGTACATCTCACAAAACATTAGTGTCATTACAATATCATAAAATTCAACATAATATCGCACAAAATTAAACAGATTTTCATTTAAACCTTTTAAAATAAATTTCATATCAAACTGGTACTCTTCGCTAAGTGACGGAGACGAAAATTTTAATTATTCAGAGTCAACTATATATCTTAATAACTATAAATTCATTTATATTAATAATACAGATATAAATAATATTTATACTTAATAACAAATTTATTTATATCTATTTGTATTAATAATAAATTAACAAAAACGAAGAAGAAACAGAAGATGACAATAAAATTAGACGTTATTAAACAGATTTGTTTCAAACTAGTATCTACCCTTGACGAAGGATTGAACAAATACGCAAAATCATACGAATCGAGGTTAAACAAATGTGAAATTTTTCCGGCTGTGGAGGGAATAAATACAGGCGGAAAAGTTATGCCGAATGATATGGCTGTCCAACTGAGAAATGTGATAGCAGAGCAATATTGCAACTCCCATGAAATTTGTCCCGTCGCTTATCGATTGCCGATAGTGATAAAGCTACAAAACGGGACAGAACGCGATACAATAACTTTCTGTTTACCCGAGCTACGACTCCAACTATTTCACTTGCAACGCGCGCAAAAACATTCAGGTAAATAGCATTTCGTCGTGATAAACAATTTTTTTAATCCGACCAATTCAACGCTGTCGAGGCTGTTCTCGCGTTGGAAGACTTTGAAGACTTATCACTTATAAAATCAGTGACGAAAGATGCTTGCAATTGTCTCAGTTACTCTGTGTTATTAGTGTTATTAAATTTTTAGTATTATAGTATTATTTTTAATATTAGTATCTTTAATATTACGGTATTTTATAATACTTGGAATAATTTTTATAAAATTATAAAAATTATTATTTAATCATTATTAAAGATGGTATTTAACTGAATCTGCTAAAAAAATCATGATGTAAAACAGCTGATATAAATCAGCCGATAATTATAATTCATGTAATCGTAGAAGCACGCATGGTATGATTTAAATATTTCAAACAGAGAAAGAATGATTTTCGGATTTTAAGCAATTACACACAAACACACACACACACACACACACACACACATATACTATGAATTTTCTTTCGAATCGACTGATTTATATGAGATCACGGAAATGTGGCTCTCAGGGTGACTCAGTATCATTTATGACAGAAATTAATTTGTTTTACCTGCATTGTTATTGTCGTTGGTAGGCCGAAAGGGAATCGGCGGCGCGGCGGAGCCCATTGTCGGAGGGCCCGACTCACCCTGCCGATTCAAGCTACCAGGTAGCGGAGGATAGAATTCCAACATGGTTCCTCGAGGCTTGTTAATTCACAACCCGCACTTTCCAAACAATCCTTCTGTTTCTTGCTCTTCCCACAAAAAGAAAAAAAAAAAGGTATATCACTCTCGATAATAGTCGACTGTCACTGCGAAAACTGGAGAAGAAGCTTGAAACTTTTCTATGAAGAGAGAGTCTGTATATTCTTACGAATTTTGCACGAGTCAGAAAACGCAGACCGCAAGCCCGACTGTTCAATTTTTCCTCTAAAACGACACAAAGCGTGCTACGTTCGCAAATTAAAATCCAAAATTCGTGAACACATTCCGAGGGTCCTCTCGAAGTCTGTATCCGAGCCTCGTCGAAATTCACAGACGAGAAATTCACCACCGAGCTCTTTCAAACTCTGTCCCGTCCTGTCCTTCGTCGTGGCGGGCAGGTCTCGAGAAAACGAAACTCTCCCCTCCAGAACCTAGTCTCACCGAGTCGAACCGAAAATAATCGAAAAATTCACAGACTACGCCAACAGTCCGATCGTCTTCAACCCTCACCCGTCCTTCGACGCGGCGATAGGTCTCAAGAAAAGATCCGGTGATCACCACCAGGCATCCTGACGAGCTTCCAACCTCGATGATACCTCGGCTCCACCGTCTTTGATACCATCTTTCGCTTCTTCTTCCTCTTTGTTCCCTTCACTACTTCCTCGAGCGTCTCAGTCACCAGCCAGCGTCGACCGGCTGCTTTCTCTTTCTTCCCACCAACTCGTGTCTGGCTCTCGTTTCGAAACGAGGGACTCTGTTTCGATGCTCAGCGACGTGACAGCTCGGACGTGTCGGCGAGCCGGACTCTCAGGCTTTTTTGACGCCAGCCACCCGCACCGACAGTGAAAATTCATCCCCCCACCGGTTCGGTGTCGGCAGACGATCGACTGAGAGAGGGTGAGAGCCTCCGAGGAGGCGTGACGTTCCAGGATGATTAAGGGTGACTGGAGAAGAGAGGCCATTGGCTCCCGCGGGTTCCGCCTCTGAACCGTGGAGAGACGGCGAGGGTGAATCCTGGCCACGGTGCTCAACTGGTTGCGCGGGCTGCGAGATCAATATCGCGAGGCAGTGACGTACGCTGCTCGCGCGACCATTGGGGGTTGAACCTTGTGTTACCTTGAATTCGATACCGACGAACCGTCAACGGGGATGGTGAACGTGGCTTTCCGAGCGTGTTGACGAGCAAGACCGAGTTCGATCTGTGGGTATCTCGTTTGGGCATCTCGCGGAAGAAGAAGAGAGCAGAGGGTGTGTGTTGCAACTGCCACGTTCTCGGGGAACTCGATTTTCATTTCGATCTAAATCCCGAGTTTTTTCCCGTCTCTTTCACGGACGATCGAGCGTACGAGCTCAAGTTGAGAGAAGAGATTGGTAAAACGTTGCTACCATTTAAATACTAAAGAGAATACTGTTGTCTCGAAGGTTTTTGGAATTTTTGGTATTTCAAATTTTTGGAATTTCTGGTCGACCAACGTTAGAGTGAAAATTAATAAAATGTCGTTACGATATTAAGAGATTGTTGTTTCAATGAAACGAAGGATTAAACTTCAGGAAGATGATTTGTAGAAGAACGCTGCGATTTGTTACAATTTGGATGTTTTAAAGGATACTGGTAGAACGTCTTTGATTTGATAATCTAAATTTTGGTGATTTTTCTTGAATGATTGTATTGCTGAAAGAAGGTCTAATTGATAGAGGATATTTAATAGTTGTCAGATTTGGAATTGAGGATTTAAGAATGTCGAGAAAGGCTTCGATTTGTTCAGGCATTTTGCAATTTTGATCTTTTGGCAATTCAAATTTTTGACGAATGATGTCTTTGTGGAAATTATTGAAGAAAAATTTAATCGACAGTAGATTAGAATTTGTCGAGAAAGTGTTCGATTGGTAGCTTGGATATTGTAGAAAAAAGCAGTCTGAATATTGAGAAAAGATTCGATTAATGGCTCACATTCAGATATTACAGAAAAAAAAAAAAAAATTGAAAATTCAGCGAAATATTGCGAGAAATTGGAAAATTTTTGCGTCGCTCAGTGTTGAGACTTTCAATTTGAAATTTCTCAGTATTTGTTAATCGACGATGATTTTACTGCACCAAGGATGATAAAGAAAGATTTAATTTGCTGTGTATAGATACTGTACAGAAATGTGATGGAATATTACTTGCAACAATTTAAATATTTTAACTATCTTGGAGTTGTTAGATACTTCAAATATTGAATCGTTGAGAATTTGATGGTTCGTACTAATCTTGAAGGCGGAGAGAGCAGTGGAATGTTTCCAGCAGACATTTTCTAGACAAAAGCCAAAATTATATCAGAAACCACCAATAAGATCAAAATCATTGAAAAATCAGACACTCTGTATTAAAAAAATCACATAATCAAAAGGTCACAATTAGCAAAATTAGGTAAAACTCACCCTCCAGTTTATCACAAACTAACCAGAATCGTTTCACTTCTCGGTCAAGGTGCAATATTTTTAAGCAGACATCCTCCAAAACAAAAACCAAAATTATATTAAATTAATTAATTATATTCAAAACCACCAATACTAGTCAAAATCATTGAAAAATCAGACACTCTGTACTAAAAAGTCACACAATCAAAAGGTCACAATTAGCAAAATTAGGTAAAACTCACCCTCCAGTTTATCACAAACTAACCAGAATCGTTTTCACTTCTTGGTCAAGAAGAAGGTGCAACATTTTCAAGCAGACATCCTCTAAAACAAAGACCAAAATTATATTAAATTAATTAATTATATTGAAAACCACCAATACCAGTCAAAATTGAAAAATCAGACATTCCGTACTAAAAAATCACACAATCAGAAGGTCACAATTAGCAAAATTAGGTAAAACTCACCCTCCAGTTTATCACAAACTAACCAGAATCGTTTTCACTTCTTGGTCAAGAAGAAGGTGCAACATTTTCAAGCAGACATCCTCTAAAACAAAGACCAAAATTATATTAAATTAATTAATTATATTGAAAACCACCAATACCAGTCAAAATTGGAAAATCAGACATTCCGTACTAAAAAATCACACAATCAAAAGGTCACAATTAGCAAAATTAGGTAAAACTCACCCTCCAGTTTATCACAAACTAATCAGAATCGTTTTCACGATCGTATCCGCTTCTTGGTCAAGAAGAAGGTGCAACATTTCCAACCAGCGCACCAGCCACCCCAAATAAGCGTATGTTGCCTGTCGGTTTCGATTCAACCTCCTCTCCCCCCCAATTGATCATTCTCCTCGTCGTCGTCGTGGTCGTCGTCATCGTCCTTACATACGCACGTGTTCCATCGTGAAATACTTTGCATCACCGTTACCATCCCTCTCTCTTTCACTCTCTCTCTCTGTTTCTCTCGACTGCATGCCCCTTTGTAACAGAGCAACGAGGAACGAAGGGGCCACGGCCGGGAGTTTCATAGGCAACTAGGCGTATCATTCGTGATACGATGGGGGAGGGAAGAGAGCGCGGGCGAAACACAGAGAGACAAAGAGGGCCCCCATATATAGGCTTTTATTTGGCAAACATCGACGATAGACGGGCCGCACAAAGGGCGGGCATTGTCGCGTATTTACGCGGACTGACAAACGACCAAATACTCGATACGACGCCGTACTTTCAAAATACACGGGACATCCTTCGCGTCTGGCGATATTGCACTACTCCTGCGGTAACTCCGACGTTGGCGTTCTCCGCCGTGTTCTTGTTCGTTCTTCCTCTGACGCCTAGAACCACCAAAATGATCAAAATCAAGTCAATTTATAATTTCTGTTAGAAATTTTAAAAGTGTACAAATACCCTGTTGCGTTATACCATTTTTACTTTCATATCTCTGATCGATCATTTTAATGCTTTAATCGATTTTCAGTTGCACAATATTTTATAACAATTAGACATGGATTTATTTCTCCTGGATTGTTTTATTTAATTCATTTAATTTATAACCAAACTCAATGGACGATTAATTTTTATTAATAAAGAAATAATTAGTTTTATACCTTTATTAATAATAATATGATTTTTAACATGTATATGTAAATGTAGGTTCTCCTTTTGCTTTAAATTTAATTACAGAAATTTTATTATTAATAGGTTTAATTTATTGATTTAAATATTTATTTATTTTAATCATTTTTTGTTTGTTATCTCTTATTTATTCAGTATATTTATTTAGGTTTTTGTAGAAAGGGATTTTCTTGGTCAGAGAGGGAAGTAGAACAATTTTCTAAATTTCTAGTTCCTTTATTTCTTCCTGGACCGGTTCCTTCACTATGTTCTTATTTTGAGGGACATATGTCTTCTAGATTCTTCTTCGTTTCCTTTCTTCTTGTATTTTAGGAAATTTTGTTGGTTGCAGGAGGAAGAAGACAATTTTCTTTTTCAAGGTGTTTCCTTCTTTCTTGAGGAAGGTATTTATTCTTGCTTGTAGATTTCGTTCATCTGTAGATTCTTTGATGGTTATTTTAGAAGTTCCCATACTAAAGTAAAGTAAAGTGATTTAGTGTTCTTCTTTGTTTGAATTAAACTTTTTTAAACTATATTTGAACAGAGGGCAATTAAACTATGATTCATTTTCGAGATTTCATTCACTTCGAGAAAAGCAAATTTCCGAATTAGCCACCAGATTTTATACGAATGTCGAAGAGTTCCATACCAGGGATCCCAGTTCGAGAACAGAAACAAAGGAAACCCTCGATTCTTTATTTGCCAAATATGATTTCTATACAGACAACGAACCGGCAAACATCTCTCAACACTCAATATGCCAGTTCTTCGAGATTCGCGTCCGTCTGGCTATTCTCGGTTAGCCTACTATATCTCGATTATATCGTACTCGAATGACAATAAAAAAAAACAATGAAAAGTAGCTTAAAGAAAAAAAGCATTGCTACGAAGAGTTTGGGAATATTTTATAACATTTTGGAGATTATGAAAAATTCTCTAGAGGAAATATAGAGATACGTCACGTCTGAATATTCTTTTAGGCAAATTTATAATTCACAGCAACAAAGTTATAATTTAACTTCAGTGAAAATTTGTCTTACTGATTAAAAATTATAACAAATGCTCCTTTGAAACAAATTATAACAAATATTTTGGAGATTATAAAAAATTCTCTAGAGGAAATATAGAGATACGTCACGTCTGAATATTCTTTTAGGCAAATTTATAGTTCACAGCAACAAAGTTATAATTTAACTTTACTGAAAATTTGTCTTAATGATTAAAAATTATAACAAATGCTCCTTTGAAACAAATTATAACAAATATTTTGGAGATTATAAAAAATTCTCTAGAGGAAATATAGAGATACGTCACGTCTGAATATTCTTTTAGGCAAATTTATAGTTCACAGCAACAAAGTTATAATTTAACTTCAGTGAAAATTACTGATTAAAAATTATAACAAACGTTCCTTTCTTACGAATGCATAACAAATGCATTCGCAATCTAGGCACAATCTTTAATCTAATTTAATTGAAACAAATCTCCATTTAACAATTTCTGTTTCTTCAGTTCGCGAAAAACCCATAAACGTGTCAATTTGCATAAAAATCTCCAACAGATGCATCGAATAAAAAAGAAAAAAAAATAAAGAAATCCGAAATATTAACTTCTTGTTGCAACCAAAATTGCAACATTTTCTCAGTTTTAAGTATATTTAAGTATAACCCAGGCAAAACAAATGATAAATTTATTGCTCCTCAATAATTTCTATCCAGCGATATCATCACCGACGAGTTCGAAAGAGAAGGAAAGCGACGAGTGTATTGTATACGGTTCGGTCACTCGTTATGGTCCGCGAATCAGTTGCCAGCGCAGGGGGTTTAAAACAACGTCACCTGG